GCTCAATTGGAGTTGAATGAAGTCAAATAGGGTCGAAGATTGGGCCTATCTGCTGGAATTGCACAGACGCGTGTGTGATAAATGGCGGTGCATAATTGGTACTTGAGAGAAACCCTAATGTCTGTTGGCGGGAAAATCGATTTTTTCGTGCTTAATAGACTTTGAGTTTTCTTTTTCTTTTCAATAGTCGTTTTTTGAAATTTTATTGTCGACTGGCGTGTGCTGGTATGCCCCAAACCAAAATTTGGACTTTGGGTCGGGCCGAACTAATCTTGTCGGACTTCGAATGTTTTTAGCTGAGTTTAATTAGTTAGGGGTGTGAAGGGCCCAAATCTTAAGGTTGGTGTTTAAGATGAGGGGGTTGGAATTAGGGTTAAAAAGGGGATTCACAATCTCATTTTGCTAAAGTTATTTATCTAGATCTAGGGTTCATCTAGTAACGTTTTATGAATCTGTTCTTGAAAAACATTTTCATTGTAAATCTATGTTAGAATGGAGTTTTAATTTTAAAATCTCATTTTAAGTTATGTCTAAATTCAACAACAACAACAAAAAGTTTCTTTTGAGATAGGTATTGCTTCGAATTTATTTTTTTTTGGGGTCATTTCACTACAACATGACTCAGTTCAACTTCAAGGCTAAGACATGAACTTAGAATCATAGACCTTGACAACCATGGTCAATACCTAAACTCCCCTTCTTTAGTGGGACTCTATAGGACTGATATCAAGGTCTGAAATATCGATGGTTTCTGAAATATCATTGGTCTGAAAACAATAATTTTTTTTATAGAAATATCGGGAAATTATCAATATCGATAAAAATTGAATAAAAAACAATAAATTTTTTATTGAAACTTTGGAGGATGTTTATTTAGTCAATTATCTATTAGTTTATCACAAAAAATTGGAAGAAAATGCATTGCATGATGAGTTTAACTTATTTTTGTTGATTATATAACGAGCTGACAAACACTACGAGTGTGAAAAATATGTAGTAATTAATGAAAGAATATTAAACACACCATAATCATTTATTTATAATGATTTATTACAATATTTTACACTTTATACATTGCATAGTAAGATACATGAGTGACTCTGTACCACATAGAGTTCCTATGAGTGACTTAGTATCACATAAAGTTCATATGAGGTTCAAATTTTTAACTATCTTTATCATATCGATATTATCGCGATATTTTTGGCAAATGTTTTTGAAGCATGTGAGAAATTATTGACGTCGATATTTCCCAATATTATTGATAATTATACGATATGTGTATGTTCCAAAATATCATATACTCAAAAAAACGATAGTATCGGCGATATTTCGTCAATATTATCGATTAGTCCTTGCTTACTACTATACCCACAAATCTTTGTTAGAAATTGTTGTTATGGTTGGCAAAGAGATTGCAAATTCACCATCTTGCATTTTTGTTCCAGCAAGTAAGAAATAATCTTAACCTCTCATATTCTTTAATAGTTAGTAAAATACGAAATGGGAAAAATATGAATAAAATATGTATGTGTTTTATTCGGCAAAATTTTGGCAAATTACTATTGAAAAGTTCAGTCATTATATAATATTTTAATATATATTATTTTTATTCAATAACATGTGAAAATTATGTGTATAATACGTGAAAATGCTAAATTCTTTATACAAATAATAACTGTGCAAAAAATAAAAAATCAAAAGGGGACAATAAAGACTCGAGTAATGGCCTAATAGTAATGAACTATGCTCTAAACTATACTTATCACGATGATAGGTCAACTAAACAAATAAATTTATAAATATTTGAAGAATAAAACTCGTGTGACTTGAAATGTGCATGGTCTAATCAGAATGCGGCAGGCTTATTCTTGATCATATAGCCCCCAGGGCATGCTTGTGGACCTTGGATAACATAATTGCGGAAATTAAAAGTATAGTTGCGCGGCTATACTATATAAATATAATATTTTAAAAGTATATGTGAGAATTATGTGTATAATACGTGAATTTTGTGTTTCTTATTGAAAATGTTGAAAAAATATGTGTATTAAACATGAGAAATACATACATACATGTACAATACGAGTATTGTACGTTGAAAAATAAAAAATAAAAACGTGAATTTTACATAGTCTTTAAGAAGTGTACATAACACGCATGCATTATTAAAAACTACATATGTACATGTATAATAGAGTATTAAACCTAAAAGTGCTAAATTCTTTATACGGATAATAACTCTGGAAAAGTAAAAATTAAAAGGGGACAATAGAGACTCAGGTAATGCTCTACTATTAATGGATAATGCTATAAACTGCTCTTATCGATAAAGGAAAATAGGGGAAAAAAGGAATCCCAATATATATATATAAAGCGTATAGCTGGTCGGCTATACTATTTATTAAAGGCAATTAAAACAAAAAAAACCCAGTAACGCCGTGCGGCTATACTATTTTTTAAAAACATTTAAAAAATCGTGTATAGCCGCGCGGCTATACTATTTTTTAAAAACATTTAAAAAATCGTGTATAGCCGCGCGGCTATACTATTTATTGAGAAAATAAAACACGGTAGCCGCACGGCTGTACTGTTTTTAAAAAAAATTAAAAGAATCGAGTATCGCCGCGCGGCTACACTAGTTATTGAAAAAAAAACACAGTGGCCGCACAGCGCTTAGGTCCTACGTGTAAAAAAAAAAACAGTATAGCCGTGCGGCTGTACGATTTTTAAAGAAGCATTAATAAAAACCAAGTCTAGCCGATCGGCTGTACTATTTTTTAAAAAAGTGGACCCCATAGCGATTAGGCGGCACATGTCAAAATCAATGTAGCCGATCGGCTATACGATTTTTATAAAAATAATCGTCGTATAGCCGCACGGCTATACTATTTATTAAAACACAAAACAGAGTAGCCGCACACCGGCTATACTATCGCTTAGGAAGCATTGCTACAACCTTGTATAGCTGGTCGGCTGTACGGCTTTTTAAAAAAAAAAAAGAGAACCCCTAGCGATTAGGTGCCAAGTGTTAAAAAAAAATCATAGTTTAGCCGCACGGCCATACCTTTTAAATACATTATGTTTAAACGGTATAGCTGTGCGGCTATACTATTTAATAAAAAACTAAATTAAGAAAAAAGCACCCTCCTAGTTACATTTGTTTATACTTTATAGATATTAATTTTCTAGTTTCAACATATCCAAAGCAGATATTAATCAACCGCTATATAATTTTTTTAATATATATGATTTTTATTCGATAATACATGTTCATTCTCTCTTTTCCTAATATTTGCTTGTATTGAAAAAAGAAAAACAAATCTCCTGCATTAAATTCTCAGTCAAAACTCAAAACGTAATCTCCTAGAATTGAATAGGTTGCCCTTTGGCTACTCTATAAGTAACATAAGCTATTCTGTTAAGCAAACTCACAAAATGCATAGTTTGCATTTTCTCTGAGAGCTTTGTCGTGAAAGAAGTGAAACTAACAGATATGACTCAACTTGAAAAACAACATTCAAGAAAAGGAAGAAGGGTTTGTTGAAGATGGTGAGTGAATTCAGAATAGGTTTTTCTGTTAAGCAAACTTACAAAATGCCTGGTTTGCATTTTTCATTTCATTTTCTTTGAGAGCCATGTCTAGAAAGAAGGTGAAACTACTCTACATCAGTAATGACTCAACCACAACACGCTCAATTCATCCAAGGGAAAGATGGGAAGGAAATGCATATTGCCCAAGATCGGAAAAATTATGGTGTTCGGTTTAATATACAAAATGAATAGTTGACATGCTACAAAAGCAAAATGTCAAAGATGCACATAGGATAGGAGGAGGGTGACAACACCCCAAACACATGTACCAACCTGAAGCATGATTTTCATCTTTAAACAAAGGAAAACAAAACCTTAAGCATGACTTGTTTGTGGATGTGAAATTCAACAATCAAATAAAATACATGAATTCAAAACTCGACGCATGCGTTTACTAGTAAGCATCACCCAAGCCAAGACTGGTTGGTGTAACTAAACACAAAGGCATGTCCTCAAACAGAAAACCCCGCATGCGCATAGTGCAAAATTCAACGCATTACTTAAACAAATTATATAGAAAAAAGTCATATTTACAAAGAAGAAAATTAGTTAACAAACCTAATGTTGCACTATGAAAAGTCAAGCGTGCACCCAATGACAAAGGCATTGACTTGAAGATCAACGAGGTAATGATACAAGTCATGCGTCACATACGATTATAAAAACAAAAGTAATGATACAAAGACAATACTTTCATTAAAGATACTCACAAATAAAATATTTAGAAGGTCAACGAGGTATAACCTAGTTACAAAGGCCTTGACTTGAAGATCATTAGTATCATGTTTGAACCCCTATGAATCTATGACACCTTAACAGTGAAATGTGCAATCGTGGGTTAGGACAGTTAGTCAAAGTAGTGAACCTGTCCCCTTGCACCCAAGTTCAACCCCCTCGCCATATATTAGAGTAGTTTCGAACATTGCATTGTGAGAAAAAAAAAAAGGAAGGTTTTTTGGCAATTTAATCAAAGAGAGAGTTAACATTTTGCAAGCCCTTAGCCTAGGTTCGATGACCCGTGGGCTTATGTGGTTGGGCCGTGGCCCATATGAACGTGTACCAAAATCTATGGACTGAGCTTCCCTTGGCTCCACCAAATCCGCTAATAACCACCCACGTATTGTGCCACAGGAACAAGAAAACCCGTGGGCCATCGCACTCACCTTTTCAAGACCACAACTCGATAGACGAAACTGCCCCTCATCCATTAAGCATATTCCGGATTTTCCTGGGCCACAACCGTAATTTCCTAGGATAAAGTGGGCCATAGCAAATAGAATCCACTAATAATAATACCCACACTTGGGCACCAAGAAAAAGCCGCAGTTAAAAGCCAGACCCGAAAAGCGAAAATCACAAACACACACTCTCTGTCTTGCGATTTCGTGAATATCGAGAAAAAAAAAATGGGCAGGAAGTTCTTCGTCGGCGGCAACTGGAAATGCGTGAGTATCCGATCCGCGATATCCTGTTTTCCTTTTAATCTGTTTGGTTGCTGAGAAAACCATAGAAACTAATGGAAAAATCAGATTTCCAGTATTTTATTGCAGTCTTAATCAACCGATCTGTTTTATGTTTTTCGTATCTGTACCCTCCGCCACTTTTTGATCAACCAAACAGC